AGCAACAAGAGGAAGCGCGACAACAAGGCCAGCACCTACGGACTCAACTACAGCCTGCTGCAGCCCAGCGGAGGGCGGGCCGCGGGGGGCGGCCGGGCGGACGGCGGCGGGGGCGTGTACAGCGGGACCCCTTGGAAGCGGAGGAACTACAACCAGGGAGTCGTGGGGTGAGTGGCGGCCCCGCGGCCTGGTGCCTTGGCCCTTGCACACGCGCAGCGGGGCACACGCCCACAGAAGGGGGGTTGGGGGAGCCCGGGCGAGGCCACCCCCCTGGGCCGCTTTGGTCGGTGCCTCTCTGGGGCCTGATGGACATCCCCTCATCTGTCCACCATCCACACTTTCCCCTAACCCTCCTTAGGGGTCCGCACCTTTCTCCTCTCCCCCAGCCTTCCACACCCTCCCTTCGCCTCCCTTAGTCATCCACACTCTCCCTCGTAACTGTCTACATCTTCTCCGACCCCCCTTATCCATTCATTCTTTCCTCCCATGCCCCACCCCCGCAGTCAAACACACCTTCCCCGATTCCCTTCAGCAGCCCTCCCATCTTCACACCCCAAGATGAGGTTGCTTAGCGCAGGCAAATCATTCATTCCCCGAGAACATTCCTGTGTTCGTGCCTTTTGATGGAACAGGACCTGGAGGTGCTTTCTTTGCCAAGAATAGAAACATCCAGAATGCTCCTCCCCCTCCCCCTCCCCCAATCCCAAACAGGAATCGCCAGCCAGTAAGGCTTTGCCTGCTATTGACCCTTTGGTCCATCATTTTATTTTTTATTTTAAAAAATTTATTGTATTAGTGGGTACAATATTCTGTGGGGCACGAGGAATGGGGTGACAGCTAAATTTAGGCTGGTGGAAATGGTGAGCTCTTCTTCTGAGGCGCATAGAACTTTCTAGGAGTTCATGGTCCTTGGCCCCAGCTTCTGACTGTAAAGTTGCCCTGGCAGAGACAGCCAGTACTTTTCATTCTAGAGGTAACTGTATGCTAATGAGTGAATGTTGCACCACTAATGACAGTCTGTTTAAAGTTCAGCTGTTACAAAATGCAATCTTACCTGACCCCTAGTGAGTTATGTACATAAGTAGGGAATGTTTTCAGCTAGATTTCCCTTCTGGAAAAGCCCCTGTGCTGGAATAGAGTATTGGGTGTGTGTGGGGGGTGTGTGTGGGTGTGTGTGTTTACCTTGAGTATGGAGAATGAGCTTTCAGATGGCTTTCCATTTTTCAGATCCTGTTTTACACTGGGGCCATAGTAGGCAAATGAAATCACTATTAGTAAACCCTAGTGAAACCTTTTCTTCCGTTCACCCATTCAGATCTGCCCTGCCTTGGCAAGCAGAGACAGTTTTGAAGGCCGGGGTAAAATGAGTTGGTGGGTTCCATCTGCTTCTAGTGGGCTGGTGTCTGGTATATGCTACTATTACAACTCACCCTTTTTATGGAAAATGCAGTCAAGCCTTTCAGGACTGGCTCTGTCTAACCTGTCCTCACTGTTTGGAGGGGAACCCTTTTAGGGTTGAGTCTGTTGTTGAGCTTCAAGGGCGCTCTCCATGGTCATCACATTTTAATAAAAGGCTCATGGTTCCATCCTGTTAGTATTGCCAAGACGAAGTGCACCCTGTGGCATAGTGACAAGCAAATTGATGTTGAGGGGTTCTGGTAGTTTCATTTCACAGGAATAAGCTCCAGTTAAGTGATAACTGTCAAATAAAACCTTAAAGTTCCCTAATTTCATTTTACTGAAGCTTCTGCGTGTATATCTAGCAAAGATACATTATAAATCCAAAATGCTGGCTGCCTCTTTCTGTTAATTAGAAATTGTCCTGTCCTCTACTTGCTATTTATTGTTGAAGGTACTATAAAAGGGTCACATTTGAACTTACATAGAAGCAATATGGTCTTGTTCCTGATTCAAATATTATACTGCCCTCAAAGGGATTAAAGGGAGGAATGTTTATTTCCCAGAGGGATTACTGTTTAAAAACTGATTACAAACCTGTTTTAAAACTACTTACCACTTCATCAGACTTTCCATTTTTTCTTCCTCCTTTAGAGGAGGTCAGCAGTTTAAAATTTTTGTATTTAAGAGTGTTTTTGTAAGAGTGTCTGGGTGCTTAAAAATTCTTGTTTTGATTTATGGATCCTTGTTTTTTTACTTTTGTGGAAGTTTTGCTATTTTTAATACAGATATTTTAAAAATCTGGGTTCAAGATGCATTGTTATGCTATTCTGAGATTAAATATAGTAAAACTGTTACCAGCATTCTGAGTTCTTGGCATGTGACTGCCATTTAGCTAATAGGTTAACCAGTTGTGGCGGTCCCTGGCCTCCGTAGGGAGGGAGAGGAGAGAAAAGCACACGACCAGTGGACTAGAACTGAGGCACAGCTGTATACCCGCTCTCACATCTTGCTCTCTGTGTTCTGTGCTTCGGCCAGATGGGTTGATTTGCTGCCTGAATGCTCCAAGGTTCGGTGCAAAATCCCGACTTGTCCGTCTCCCAGGTTCTTGATGTTTTGGTTTCTCCTCTGAACTCTTGAAGTACTTGCTTCATGCTGTTGGTGTAGCTTGCCTATGTTTACTTTTCCTTTGATGGATATGTTCCTTCTTACCCGCTAGGTCACTAGTTAAGATGGAAATTTCTTAAACGTAGAGTAAGATACTTGGATTTCATCCTGAAGTCTTCATAGTCCTATTTCAAAATTAAATTTGCCTGGCTCACCGTCACAGCGTTCTCCTTGTACCCACAGACCCAGGGAGTTTGTTCACTTTCCTTTTCTTCTTTAAAAAAAAACTTTTTGTTTTCAGCCCTCGCTTGAGGATCTATCAAAAGATCAACCGATTGCCTCCTGTGCGTGTCTTGACCCGGGGATCCAACCTGCAACCTGGGCGTGTGCCCTAACCAGGAGTTGTACCCAAGACCTTTTGGTGTATGGGCTGATATACCAACCAACTGAGCCACACCAGCTTAAAGGTGTTTTCACTTGCTCTCTTTCTTGGGATCCATTTCCCTCCCACACTTGCATGGTGTAGGAAGCAGCCCGCCTGCTCCTTCTGGTTGTCCATGAAAACGAGCCATAAGCCCTTTTCTTTTCAAAAATTTAATTGTTGATCGTCATGGAGAAAGAAGAGATGACAAAAAGTAGCAAACACAGGAAACTTAAGGAGGTTCAGAGTCCTTGGTCTGAGCCCCTGTGTACAGAAACTTCTTGTGAAAGGTGCTTGGTGCCTGTCCAGGCTCATTAGAAGAGGTCTGAGTTGGCTACACTGCCAGATCTGGGACTATTTTTTCAAGGCTTGGATGATTTTGAAAGTCATGTTTTGGAGTACATATTTGACATGGGACACCAAGAAGGCCCTGTTGGGAAACCTTGGTTTAAGGACTGATCTCTTAAACGAGATGATGGGATGGGAATGGAAAGAAGAGCAGATGTGAGCCGTACTTCAAGGTTAAGATGGAGAGGATTTGGATCCCCTTTATGGATTTAATAATCTACTACAGCCTTGACCTTTAGTGATTGGGGAAATGTTGGTGTTGTTGGTTTGGAGCAAGAGATAGGGTGATGTTGAGGTGGAGCTGTCCATCGGGGAGTCGAAATTTGGGGGCTGAGATGTCATCCTCGTGCACCGGGGCAGTGTCTTTCCTGTGTCCATTGTCCCTCTGTCACAGTCCAAGGTGCTGACGCTGTTCTTCAGCACTGGCGTTAGGGCCTCTCTGCTTATTTTTACATAACATGATCAGTGGGATTGGTGTTAGTGCTGGGCTCCAAAGCTGTGCATCAGGCAGTTCAACATGGGTTGAGTACAAAAGAATCTAGAGGCCTTATTCCATGTGCTTGCTCTAAGCATAATTTCTGTGTGTTTGCAGAGGTAGCCCACAGTAATTCTTTAGTGAACTAGGATCTCCGGGTTATTAAATTTTGCTGCATTGGGTACTGAAATGTGCCTTCAAGAAGACATTACATTTTCTGCCGTGTAGAGCTTACTATAACAGCGTAATTCATATCTGAGAATTTGCCAAAATCTATTATACTGTGTTAAACTGAGTTGCTTTCATGCCACAACTCATCATCTGTCCAAAGTCTGTGTATAGCGAACACTGTCACTGGCAGAATCATTGGCAGTTCAGCACGTGGAATCTTTTTCAGCCCCCACTAAGTGTTTAGCGATTGGAACGGTGAGTGAATAGAGTTTTTGGCGTCTGCCCTGTGCTCACACAGAAAGTTTAGCATACTGCAGGGAAGGATGAGAAAGGGGTACTAGAAAGTTTAAGGCAGGGAGGGCATGTGTTAGAACATTTCTGGTCCTGGTGTGCTCAGTGGCCTTGTATCCCAACTTCCTCCAATGAATCCTGATGTCAGGAGCCCAGAGGGTCCACGGGAGGAAAATTCAGGGGCGCCTCTGCTGATAATTTGATTCATCAGATGGTTGTGGTTAGATGTTCTTACACCTGCTGAAGCTGAGAAAAATTTAAGCCATTTTTTTAATGGCAAATAGAAAAACAAGCTGTTGTATATGGTTTCACTCAGCTTTCTATTCTCCCGTCTGTTGACTCCATTAGAGTAACATTTAGTGGAGGAAACTATTTCAGGATCACACCCACAACACTAGAGATTGTGTGTATTAATCACCAGTTTACACATAGGTATGGAGTAATCTTGAAAGGGATATAGGCCGAAGAGGATGTCTATTTGAAGAATTCAGGGCCAGTTCCCAGCAGCTGGTCTGAGAATCCTGTCTTTGCTCTTTCCTACAGAGATGACTGGAGAGCTTAGCCTCCTTGAGGAACTCAGGGGAACAGAGGAGAGGGTTCTTCCTACCCCTAGGGACTCAGCTGCTGCAGAGCACCACAACATCATTTTACCATTTTCAAAATGACACAGGCCCAGCTTGCATGCTCAGCGGTTGGGCATTGACCTGGGATCCAGGAGATTGTGGTTCGATTCCCAGTCAGGGCACATGCCAGGGTTGCGGGCTCGATCCCCAGCAGGAGGCAGCCAATCGATGACTCTCTCATCATTGATGTTTATATCTCTCCCTTTCCCTTTCTCTCTCTGAACTCAATAAAAATAAATTTAAAAAATTACAGTTATATATTTCTAAGGTTATATATATTTATTTTATCCTTACCTCAGGATATTTTTTTCCCATTGCTTTTCAGAGAAAGTA